TGGATAAACTGTGGTATATTGACACAAAATACTATACACCAATGAGAATGAACTACAAAACCTCAAACATAATATTGACTAAAGGAGGTCTTACGTAATGCATACTAAATGATTCCATGTTATATAAAGTTAAGAAACAGGGAGAGCTAATCTATGGTGGTATTAGAAGTCAGGATAGTGGTTACTCTAGGTGGGGCGGGGAGAGGACAGTAATTGGAAGGAGGTACAAAGGGCAATTCTAGCTAGCACTAGTTACGTTCCTTAGATTTGAATGCTGGTTACATGGGTGTCATCCGTTTGTGAAAACTTGGGATGTACTTATGATTTTCATAACTTTTTGTGTTATGCTTCAACAAAAAGTTAAAAAAAAAAACAAACCAAAATATCTGTATTCGTAAGATCAGCTGTTTTACTAATAGCCAGATTTTGCATACCATACTTTTTTCTTTGGTAGATTACCAAGTCCTCAAACTCTGCTGAATATGTCCTTTAAAATAACCCTAGTTTTCTTCTCCTGGTTCAAGTCTTCGGAATAATTACAAATTCTTCAAACCCTACACTGCTTTCAATTAAATATTTTTTGATCCATACACCTGATGATAGCAGCTTTTCTCTAAAATCATTTCAGCAGCTTTCAAAATTCTCCAATTCATATCCATCTGTTATTCCAGCATACAATGCTCTAAGGTGATTTAGAACAGATGTTAATTGATAGGTTCACATACATGCGAGGGGGTGGGCTTACATATCCTTTAGTTTGTAGCAGTAAATACAACACATATGCCAACAATGGCTAGATTAATTATTTCTATCAGCAAGGCAATTCAGCCATATATAAGGTGGGAATCACTGAAAAGATGAAGTTACTATGCAAAAATGATCAGATTCTGTTCATTGGAGGCATGCACCCATTTATTTTCATCTGTGCTATAGAACTTCAAATTCTACTCTTTTCTAAGATTTTATTTATTTATTTTTTCCCCCCAAAGCCCCAGTAGATAGTTGTATGCCATAGCTGCACATCCTTCTAGCTGCTGCATGTGGGACTCGGCCTCAGGATAGACAGAGAAGTGGTGCCTCGGTACGCGCCCGGGATCCGAACCCGGGCCACCAGCATCGGAGCGCGCTCACTTAACCACCAAGCCACGGGGCCGGCCCTCTACTCTTTTCATTTATATTTTATCTACAAGATTTTTGACATAAACATATACCTATGAAACTATCACCAAAAGATAGTGACCACCTCCATCACCCCCAAAAGGTCACTCATGCCTCTTTGTAATCCACCCTTCCCTTTACTCCCATCCTCCAGCAACCACTGATCTGCCTGTCAGATTAGCATGTATTTTCTAGAGTTTTATAGAAATGAAATCTTACAGTATAGTACTTTTTGTATGGCTTATTTTTTCACTCCAGCACAATTATTTGTTGCATGTATCTATCAATACCAGTTCTTTTTATTACCGACTAGTATTCTATTGTATGGATATATCAAAAATTTGTTTATCCATTTGCCTGTTAATAGAGATTTGTTTCCAGTTTTGGGGCTATTACAAATAAAGCTGTTATGAATGTTCATGTAAAAGTCTTTTTATGGACATATATTTCCCGTTCTTATGGGTAAATACACGAGTGGATTGGCTGGATCATATGACAAGATGTATATTTAACTTAAGAAACTGCCAAACCATTTTCCGAAGTGGTTGTACTGTTTTCCATTCCCATCAGCAGTGCATGAAAATTCTGGTTCCTTCACATCCTGCCAGAGTTTGATATCAAAATTACGCAAATCCAAAAATGAGCTGAGAGGTGTGTTCCCTCTCTATTTACTATTAGAATATGTGGAAAAGGTTGGAATTATTTCTTCCTCGAAAGTTAGAGAGAATACTCCAGAGAAACCATCTGGGCCTAGAGTTTTCTTTATGGGATGATTAATGACTAATTCAATTTATGTAATGGTTACAGGACTATTTAGATTTTCTATTTCTTCTTGCATCAATAGTGGAACCGTATTTTTCTAGTTTTCCCACGATATCCTTGTTATCTTTTAATCTCTTTAGCACCTGTAGTGATGCCCTCCTAGGACATTTGTACCTTCTCAATCTCAACCCTTTCCACGTCCTTAGGTTTTATGAACACTTCTAAACAGTATAAATGTAATTGTTCATTTTAATTCCGTCTGTTAATATCTTAACTATGACCTTTAGTCTATTTACATTTTAATGGGATTACTGAGGGAGGGGATGTGAGGCAAGGACAAGCAAGAACTTTTAGGCTTTCAAATTTTTACATCATTAAATAAATACAAAGCTACTAAAGACTGATTATTCCATCGAAAAATTAATATAATAGAGCAATCTAGAACTCACCAGTGACACTCCTCTACCTGAATAAAAATGCATCAAATTGCTACAGCACCCTTTAGTGTGTCACCTTTTAGACTACAACCTGATATACTTTCTTCTCCAGCCTTGTTTGCTTAAAAAAAAAAAAGGGAAAAGATAAAAAGATTTTGTCCTTAAGGGCAAAGACACAAAAACAAAGATGACGATAACACTTAAGAGTATTACTGTACATATATTAACCCACTTAATCCTTCCAGCTACCCTATTAAGTAGGTACCACTGCTGTCTCCATTTTAGAGATGAGGAACCATCACACAGCCAGCTATTAAATACCGTTTGAATTTAAATCTAGACATTCCAGAGGCCATGCACTTAACCACTTCGTTATGCATTACTCTTCTAGATGACTGATAATCTTTCTGTGGTTGCTGAGGCCCGCACCCCATTCTCCTCAGAGACCAGACTCCAATGATTCCCTCTTGCAAGGCCATTCATTTTAGGTGACTTATTGAGCATCTACTATTTTCAGGTACTTACCTTCTAGTAAGTAACCTAACCAGCCCATCCTTGCCTGACAGATCACTGAAAAATGTTCCTATGAAGGTTACCAATGGACCTCTCAGTTAAATCCAGTTCTTACTCGCTGTATTGACAACAGCTGAGATGTGATAGTAAACTCTCAAAATAGTGGCTTAACGAATCTTAAATGTCTATAAACTGTACCGCACTAAATCACGAACTTGACAAAATATTCTGTTCCTGAAGGTTTAATTTTCCATCATTTTAAGAGCCACACTGAAGCAGTAAAACAATTTCAGGTGATGAAAGTACAAAGGAAAAGTGGTTCTTAAACATGTTAAGCAAGCAAGCTGCCCTTTTGTAAGCCTTTCTCTCCTCCTTGACTCAGGGAACTCTTAACAACCAAAAAAACCCCAAGCTTAAATTCTGGCATTTTTGCCCAAGAACTTAGGGAGGAAAAATCCTTTTTTTACTAAGAACGTGTGCTTACAAATAAAGCTTCAAAATATTTAAAGACCCAGGGCAAAACAAGTTCTTATTCATTTTATAAGGCAGTTCTTACTCGTTAGTTCTTCCTTGACAAGATTTTCTAGATTATCCGATCACAATCGTTTTACCCAAGGCATATTACCAACACCAGGGAGTTTTCCCATCCGTGAAATGGAGGAAATACTAAGCTTCTGCATATTTATAAAAAAAGTAACTGCTTCCTATAATATACATATAAAGTGCCAGAACTGAGTCTTGCACATAGTAAAGGGCTATACGAGACACAGTGTTGCACAAAGCTTGAAAAATGAGACCTGTGACATTTTGGCTAACTCGATTACGTTTTGCTAGAAGAGAACCCTCCAAGAAATACTGCCTTAAAGTCCCGGCAGCACGTGTCCGCCTGGATTCCCTTCTCCAGTCGCTTTTTGTCCGGGACGGCGGCGAGCGCAGCCAACATTCCTGAAACGCCCATTGGCCCACACCCTGGGCCAGGCTCCCGACCGGGCCCGGGAGCTCATTGGTCGTCGCCGCTCAATGAAGCGGCCGCGCCGGGTCGTGCGCCGCACCGCCGCGATCGCCGCACTCGTGCGCCGCGGAGCCGAGGAAGCACAGGCCCGGACCCCTCGGCAGTCGCCGGCGCTGCATTTCCCGAGAGCACCGGACGCCCTCGCCTCGTCTGCGCGGGCAGCGCGGCTCTCTCGCGTGACTGCCGGGAGGGAGGCTGGGGCCCCAGATGCCTTTGCAGGCTTAGGCATTAAAGGTATTATGTCCCGGGCCCGCCGGGCCTCCAGCCCGTCCATGCAGGCAAACCTTACTCCACCCCGCCCCTCGCGCGGACCCCGCCGACTGCCTAACAGGTTACACAGCCCAAGGTCAGGAGACCCGGGGACGAGCCTCGGCGGGCTCCGCGCTGTCGCCCGGGGCCACCCCGAGACGGCTTTGGTGCAGGGCGCGCTCGGGCGGCGGTGGGGCCCAGCCACTGCGACACCAGCGCTCCCGCCCAATCCCCGCCGGCCCAGCGCCACATGCTGCCAGCGCGGACCGCGGGCGGGAGGCCTGCTCCCAGCCCCGGAGCCCCGGCCGCAGGGCCTCCTCCTCCGGCGCACGCGGCGAGAACGAGGCCGGCTCCAGCCCCGCTCCCTCCCTCCTCCGCTCCGCGCGGCGGGCACGCCCGAATTAGCGCCTGACTAAGCCCGCCGAGCCACACCTGCCGGGAGGGGGCACGCGCGGCCCCCTACCCGGGCCCCGGACCGCCAAGTCCGGAGGGGAAAGTCGGGAGGCGCGGGCCGCCCGACCCCCCGAGCGGCGCCGCCCGCCGCCCCGCACGCG